GTGGGAACCAAGGCAGCCGGCAAGCGACAGTGGCACTGTTATCCTGAGGTACTGGCCATTATGATTAATGTGCATCTGATTATGTCTTTAGATCTAACTTCCAGTCAGAAGAGAAAATAAACGATAGAGGAACAAGCGAAGGGATACAGTGGTGACACCGTCCGATAAATCCAGATTGCTTCCACGAGTCAATATCTTGGCCAGGTATGGTGGTGCACACCTGTAATCCCAGCTACATGGGGAGAGGTAGGAGGGCTAGGTTAGATCAGGTTAAAACAACAACAACAACGCAAGATGTTATCTGGAAAACAGCTAAAGCCAAAAACAGGATTGGAAGAGTGGGACAAGAAATAGAGGCCCAGCCAAGCAAGCAAGCCAAGGGAGGCCTTAAATTCAAACCCCAGTACCACCAAACAAAACAAAACATGTCATTGTGGTCAAAGACAAAGTCTGAGAAACTGTTCCAGATCGAAGGCAATTAAGGAGAAACAAAAACTGAATGCAGTGGGACTCTTGGTTGGTTCTAGAGCCAAGTGAAAACTTGCACAAGGGACAGGCTTTAGTTTGGCTTTCATTCATTCATTCATTTGTTTACTGTGCTGGTCCCAGGGTTTGAACTCAGGGGCTAAGCACTGTCCCTAAGCATAGTTGCTCAAGCCTGGCACTCTACTACTTGAGCCATAGCTCCACTTCTGGCTTTTTAGTGGTTAATTGAAGCTAAGAGTCTTATGGACTTTCCTGCCAATTCTGGCTTTGAACCGTGATCCTCAGATCTCAGCCTCCTGAGTAGCTAGTGCTATTGGTGTGAGCCACCAGTACCCAGTGAGAAATACATCTTGATAAACCAAAGTTGCCTTTTGTTCACTGGCTTTTCTATCTTCATGTTCCTGTCCATTTTCAGGGAAGCATGTAACATGCCCTTAGGTTTACCTTATTGTTATTTCTTGTTGTTGTTGTTGGTGGTGGTGGTGGTCATCGTGGGGCTTGAACTCAGAGCCTGGGTATTCTCCCTAAGCCCTTCAGCTCAAGGCTAGCACTCTACCACTTTGAGCCACAGCTCTACTTCTGATTTTCTAGTGGTTAATTGGAGATAAGAGTCTCACAGACTTTCCTGACTGGGCTGGATTTGAACCATGAACCTCAGATCTTAGCCTCCTGGGTAGCTAGGATCACAGGCGTGAGTCACCAGTGCCCAGTGGATTTACCTTAGAAAACAGACAGAGCTGCAAGATGGAGAGGCGCTCCCAAGCGATGTCTACAAACTCGGTCAGTTCTCAAACCCACTGGTTCTCTGTGTCCTTCCTTCCGAATCCAGCATCCTACCTCAAGCTGGGTGCGGCTCTGCTGGGGATTCCTCAGGCCCTCAGCATCTGCTTAGCACTGACATACTAGGGTTTTATATCTCTTGATACCATTTCCCAATTACTCTTTCCCTCGCCTCTACTCCCCTCCCCCCCCATGACCTGGGGCTTGAACTCAGGGCCTGGGCACTGTCCCTGGGCTTCTTTTGCTCAAGGCTAGCACTCTACCACTTGAGCCAGAATGCCACTTCCAGCTTTTTCTGTGTATGTGGTACTGAGGAATGGAACCCAGGGCTTCATGCATGCTAGGCCAGCACTCTACCACTAAGCTACTTTCCCAGCCCCCACTTCCCAATTATTCTGTCTCTGTCTCTCTACCTGGGCCCCACTAGCACCTGGGGGGCTGTATGTAGGTCATAGCTGGCTAGAATTTTTCTTGTGTAGGGTGAAAAAAAAGCTCAGAAAACCCTTTCTAATTAATTTAACAAATGCTCGGAAGAGAGGAGGGGATGAATAGACCTTTTGTTTGGTCCCTTTACAGTCTGTAGGTTTACTGTAGAAGGGGTCCAAACAAGCAAACCAGAAGAAGTTACAAAATACTGTATTTCAATTCCTCTTTGACAATCAGCATTGTGGTTTCAAGTCCAAACTAGACATGGGCTCAGAGAAACCAAGGGAGCTCAGTGGCCTGGCCTTATTCTGGCCTTATTGATTCTCCTCTTGATGGTCATAGGCCTTTTTTTTTTTTTTTTGGCTGGTTGTGGGGCTTAAACTATAGACCTGGGCGCTGTCCCTCAGCTCTTCAGCTCAAGGTTAGCACTCTACCACTTGAGCCACAACACCACTTCCAGCTTTATCTGTTTGCGTGGTGCTGAGGAATCGAACCCAGGGCCTCATGCTTGTGAGGCAAGCACTCTACCACTGAGCCACCTTCCCATCCCATGACCAACCACTCACTCTTGTTTAGCTTTTTCTTTTTTTTTGGTTGGTCATGGGGCATGAACTCTGGGCCTGGGCACTGTCCCTCAGCTCTTCAGCTCAAGGCACGCGCTCTACCTCTTGAGCTACAGCGCCACTTCCGGTTTTCTGGTGGTTTATTGGAGATAGAAGTCTCACGGTCTTTCCTGCCCAGGCTGGCTTTGAACCGTGATCCTCAGATCTCAGCCTCCTGAGTAGCTAGGGTTACAGGCGTGAGCCACCAGCGCCCGGCTTCTTTAGCTTTTTCTACTCAAGACTGGCACTCTACCATTTGAGCCACACCTCCACGTCTAGCTTTTTGCTGTATAGTTGGAGATTAGAGTCTCTCAAAATTGTCTGCCCAGGTTAGCTTTGAACCTAGATCCTCAGATCACAGCCTCCTGATTAGCTATGATTATAGGCTCGAGCCACCCATGCCCCGCTGTCATTTGCCTCCTTCCTGTGTGTTGAGTAGTCTTCTCAACCTGCCTGCCAACTCCTGGGGCCTCTCGGGCTCATCAGTTCCTTGTTCCTCAGCTGCACCCTCTCCCAACAGGCCGCTGAGATTCTCATAGTCTCCAGCTTGTCACAGAAAGTGGCCTGGGAGAAGGCCCGGGGGCAAGTTTAGGGAACAGTGGTTTAGGCAGAGGTGTCAGGTATCTGTCCGCAGGCCAGGCCCTGGCTTCTGAGCCTATCTCTTCCCTTGCAAAGTGGAGATGATGAAACTGACTTTGTGTGGCCAGGTAGATGGGCAGATTGACACCACACAGATCTCCTGCTTTACAGAGTACAGTGACCATCAAGGGCCATCTGTCCAGCCTCATCCCCTATTCATCATCCCCATCCTAGGAATCAGTAAAGGCCATTAGTTTTATCTGCCTCCCATCCTTCCTCTCTCATCCATCCAAATTAGTTCTGACAGAACCTTGTTTGAATGAACAGCAGCCTTCAGAGATGGACTTACAGTACTTACTACTTATTTCCTTAGAGGCTGTAACAAGGAAGAGGCAAGTCTGGTGCTAGTAATGCACGCCTGTAATCCCAGCTACTCAGGAGGCTAAGATCTGAGGATGAGGTTTGAAGCTAGCTTGAAAGTCCATGGGAATCTAGTCACCAGTTAGCCAGCAAAAGAATGGAAGTTGAGCTGCAGCTCAAGTGGTAGAGTGCCAGCCTTGAGGGAAACAAAACTAAAGGACAGCACCCAGACCCCGAGTTCAAGCCCCAGTACTAGCACACACACACAAATAAATAATAATAGTGCCGGGCACCAGTGGCTCACACCTGTATCTTAGATACTGAGGAGGCTGAGATCTGAGGAACATAGTTCAAAGCCAGCCCGGGCAGGAAAGTCCATGAGACTCTTATCTCCAATTAGCCACCAGAAAACCGAAGTGGTGCTCTGGCTCAAGTGGTAGAGTGCTTGCTTTGAGCTGAAGAGTTCAGGAACAGCACTCAGGCCCAGAGTTCAAGCTTCACTGCCCAATAATAATAATAATGATGATGATGATGAAAAAGAGGAGGAGGAGGAAAGTGGCAGGTGACAGACTGTATGGGTTCAAATTTTACTCTACCATTTACTATCTGCGTGCCTGGGAGGGTTAATAATGGAAAGTACTTCCTCTGGGGAAACCTTTGTTGTTATCTCAAGTCCTTGACACTGATACAACATATAAAGCTGTGAAACTGTTGCCAATTGGGCTGCAAGTCAATGTATCTCAGGTTCCGAGGTTCACACCCCTTCCTTCCCTCCCATTCACAAAATTGTTGCCAATGAAAACTGACACACTGAGTTTAAGGCCTCTTAAAATAGATGAAGTACAGTATTATTAGCATTATCAGTATCACAGGGCTGGATTAAAGCATTGCTAGTATTTTGTGCCTTGAGATTCACATCCGAGGACTACCATTCATTTCCTAGTGATCTCACATAAAATACTTAAAAAAAAATCTCAGGTGATATCCAAAAAGAAATGTATTCTTTATCTGACTTGTGTAACGGTAACCCCTTTGAACGTCTTTACAATAACAATAACAACAACGACAATAATAATAATACATTTAACTTTAAACGAATTAAAAAAAAACCCACCGATGCCTCAGTTTCCTTGTTTGCAGAATGAGGACAGTATCTATATTAGGTAACACAGAAGAACATGAGTGCATCTAGAAAGTTCCAGGTAGACTTACTGGCAACAAAGTTGCCGTTTGCAGTGGACTCGAGGGGGGAGAAGATCCGGGAGCCCCCTCTCCCAAGTCAATGGAAAATAGTGGAGGGCTCAGCTCCCCCTCCTGCCCCGCCCCTCTCTGCCCCGCCCTCTCTGCCCCGCCCCTCTCGGCCGGCCCCGCCCCTGCCGGCCCCGCCCCCTCCCGGCCCCGCCCGGCCTCGTCCGGCCCCGCCCGGCCCCGCCCCTCCCGCCCCGCGTCCGGGCCTGCACTAGTCTCGCGCGTTTTCCGTGTGCGCGAGCTCAGGCCGAGAGTCTGGACTGGCGGTTGGTCGGACGAGACCATCTGCTACGGGATGTAGGGGGAGCCCAGAGCCTCCACGGCCACAGTGTCTTTCAGCCTTTGCTTTTCCAGGCCCAAGTGCTGGTCCTTTCGTGGTCTGTGCGCGCTCTTCCCTTGCTCAGGCTCTGCGTGTGGAGTCGAGCCGTCGGGGCCGAGGGCTGTAGGGTCTCGGCGTGGCGTCCCCCCCCCGCCAGCGGGAGGCCGGTGGGACCGGACGACGGCCGGCAGGGGGGAAGGAGGCGGCCCTAGCGCCATTTTGTGGGGACGAAGCGGTGGCCGTGCTGCTGTCGGGACCTTCCCTGCTCGGTGTCCGTGTCGCGCTTCCCAGCCGCGGCCTAGCGGGTGAGTCGGTGACGCTTCTCTCCAAGGACGGCCGGGCGCCTGGGCCCGCGCGTCGGGGGG